GATGAGCTCCATTGATGGGGAGCACCATAACTCTGGAAGCCTGGATGGCTGCGAGAAAACGTTTTCACTGGATGATGGCTTTCTGGAGGAGATCTTTTCAAGCCCAGAAAGCACTATTGACAATACAGAGTCTGGTCAGTCTTGGATGGAGCTCGTTGATTTTGACGAGTGTCCACCACCGCCAACCTATATTCCCCAGCAGGAATATGAATTTGGCATGGATGGTGGCGAGCAAACACTTTCAGTGGACAATATGTTTTTGGAGGAGCTTTTATTGATCCCAGATAGCACCATTGGGAACATGGAGTTTATTCAGTCTTGGATGGAGCAACAGCCACCTGTAGAGTTTGATATTAACGACATGAATCTGGAAGCTCCTTGAGGAGTTGCATTACAGCACATTTTTGCAAATTGCAACATAGGCCAAGTGTAATTTATTTAGAGAGGGAAATTCCCCATATGTAACTTAGGAGCGTTTGAGAAAATAATAGACATTTTTAAAGACTGATGAAGCTCGCTGTGGTTGCTGTCGATGTTCGTCGTCATGGGTTTGAAAGGCAGCAACCGCCGGAAGGATTGCAAAGAAAGGACATTCGATATTTTAGTACAGTATTAAAGGCCTGTTGCAAATGCCGATGCCGTGCTGTTGGAGTGAGAATCAGGTGAAAGAAAAAAAATGAAGATATTCATTTTCTAAAATAATACAATCATCAGTCATTGAAGTATAGTGGTAAGTATTTCTACCTGTCACGCAGACGACCTGGCGTGGCAATGGTTACTCTTTTATGCAAGGACTGCCCTTTGGTAAAGTTGAGTTCTATTTTAACTAAGGTGATCTTGGGAACTGATTCAACTGCAGCGATGTAAGTTGCTTGCAAGTTACTCTATTCAAGATGAAAATATTGGCATCATTATTCCCTAGCTGTTTATGAATTTCTACTACTTTATGTGGGTACTAATTAAAATTCTGTCACATAGATAGCTGTTAAATCTGATCCGTCCATTCATGGTCTATGTGAGCCCAAGCACAAAAGTGCTTAAAAACACTGAAGATCGTGGAATGACCCAGATAGCACCCGGCACCTTGGGATCCATGGCGCAATGGTAGCGCATCTGACTCCAGATCAGAAGGCTATTCGAGTAGCAGACTTCCCGAACGAGTGTTCTCTGAGTTAGATGTGCTCTTGGCTGTATAAATTTTTCCAAAGCTGAGAAATGAATTCACCAAAAAATAAAGCTGAGAACTTACCTTTGCTTGAAGCTAACAGAGCCCGGAAATGCGCCATCCCCCAAGCTCGCAGCCACTCCAACTCCAGTGCATACAAGACCAAACGCTTCTTCTTTCACCGGGTTCAACGAAATGACATGTTCTTACTGGGTATACTACTTACATTTTGATAGGTTTGTAAAAGAAAATAAAATAAAATTATTCTCTAATGTTAACTATACGATGGATGTCTCCAACGTGCTTGTCCTCTCTACTCTTTTTCTCACGCCACTTATATTGGTCTAGTCGTCTAGATGGGTGCAACTCGCAAGGGTCAGCATGCATTTCAGGTTGGAATCGTCCACAATCTCCTCTGGCAGTGAGCATTGGCAGCAGCAGCAGCAGCAGCAATCTCACGGTCGTCCCTTGGCTGGCTCCAGGTGATTGGAAAGAGCTTACATCCAGCATATTTAGACCCATCTCGGCAGGCCACGAAAAAACTTTGAATTGACCAATGACATTGTCTTTGGAGTTTAAAGATTCTTGCCGTTGGTCGCATACCTCATTGGGGGAATTAGTGCAGTCGAGCTCATCTTCTCAAAGAATCTGCCCCATATGTGGTAATTACTGGAAAATGGTATGCCACAATTATCTTCTAGCAAGGAAGAGATATATATCGACAAAGTTGATGATTCGCTGCATGCTGAAAATACTTCTAGTCACTAAACATGAATAACAAATTGTTTACATTATTATGTAAAAAGACAATCGATACACTAGATTTTATTAGACAGTTTGCAAAATTCATGGACAGAATTAGCCATTGCCTTTGAATAAATCTCAAGGAAATTCTCAACATAAAACATCAATCAATTAATCTTTTCTAATGGCAATTTCAGTCATGTCTTGCTTGATTCTCTGCTCCTTGTTAGCTCAAGCTACTGTTGGTTTACTTGTACAATATGGCTCTGTCACTGTTGGGAATGGCGACTTCATCCCCTTGAGCAGCACTGACTCTGCCCCCACTGTTGACATTGAAGGATTCGGGAAGAATGGCACTGCTCGTCTCTTCTCGGTTGTCATGGCAGATCAAAAGGCACTGTCAGCGCCAACCAAAGTTTACCCCTACATCAACTTTTGGATTGCAAACATTCCAGCAGGCAGCACTGATGAGTGATATACTTCAAATCTTTATATGATGGTGGCTTGGCAGGAGCTGTGAAGGGCAGCATGTTGGAGCCTTATGTATCTCCTTCCAACACTAGCAAGAACATTCCATACCCAACCACACGTATGATTTTGTGCTTGTTCCACAAAGGAATCCCTTGGTGAAGCCCATGGATAGGCGGCAACTGGATGGCTGATATCATTGGACAATACCACTGTGGAAGCCCTCTCCAGACCGTCTCCTTCACCACCTCTCTCCATTGATGTTAATCCACTAAAAAGTATTTGCCAATAAATTGAAAAATATTTGTTATCAGGATGATAACCAAGATGCACAACAATCTGAGCTCCTTGGATGATCTTCCCGACGAGGTGCTCATCGGGATCCTGTTCCTGTCGCGCCACTTGTAATACTTGTATTGGGGTGTAGCGCGTCGTCACAAATTTCAGCCTGGAATCACATAATCACTGGTGAGGATGAGTGGCAGCAGGGCCTTCTTTCCTGGTTTGGCCGGTGTGGAAGCTGCACAAGGTCCGGTGGATGCTCGTCAATGATGCTCTCGCCGTCTACGTGCAACGTGGAGTGGATCAAGCTGCATGCGGAGGTGCGGAGCATCCAGGGCCTGTAAATGTCTAGGCTCAACAAGCTCATAAGCACCTTTCGAGGCTCGGCCAGCGAGAGGTCGAGCATCAGTGGCGTCAAGCAGCTCTGAATTCGGCCAAAGATCTCTCAACCTTCCCGCCGCCTTGAGGTGCTTTACATTGCTCGTATCTCCATGAAGGTTCATGGCTAACTTTTGGTGTCGTAGAGATCGAGCCCCGAGGACTGGAGCAGCAGGCACGCACCTCTGCGCATGCACATCGCCGCCTCCTACCCCAAGGGACCGGATGCCGATCTGGAAGAGAGACGAGATCGACTTTCTGCGGGAGCTCGTCATGAGCAGCAGCTGTGTGACGTGGCTCAAAGTAACAGGGGTTGTGTTGATTGGCCCGCCACCTGATTTTCAGCCAGCTGCCTCCGATCGTGAAGCTGGGCACAGCATTTCCTGGGCATGTTGAGGTGCATCCCCTTCACTTTGGCCCGCCGCAGCGCTGCGACGTTGTGTGGCGCTCCATGAAGCCAAAGCTTGATTCGGAGTCGACTGCAATCCACCGTGCACGAAACCCAATGGTTGTCAACACTTCGAGAAAGAGTCAACTACCAGCATGATAAACAATTTGTACCTCCTTAGCTTTCGCGCAGTCGCGATGAGCATTCATTGGTCTTGCCCAATTGCAAGGGCCTCAAAGATAAGTCAAAGAACTTCCACTATATCAGTGCTTGTAAGAACTGGCTAGTGTTTCCACTTCTTTCAAACGTATTTCATTCACATTGTTAAGCATCTCTCCAGGTGATGGACATCTGACCGTAGAGGGGGTCGCTGGAGCTAATGCCCAGCGCTTTCCACACAGCATCAGAGCCATCCACAATGTTATTCCGGCATGGTGGCTGCCAAGCATGAGGCTTGTCACAGCCCATTGTAGAATCACACTCGTCCACCACTTTGGCAGTGGTGGATCTCCCATTTGGAGCTGTGATACTGATGAACTTCAAGCACCGGGAGCCCCCGCTATACCATCCGGTTGAGAGAGCCACGATCCTCTCGGTGTTGGAGTGGAATTTCTCATCGCACTCCGAAGGATCTCCGCCATCGCCACCAGCTTGGAAGTCGTTGACAGTGAGAATTGCTTTGGTGCTCTGCGAGACTGGGGGCGAGCATCGATAGATCGGATAGTTTGTGTTGGCCTTGCAGCACTCGTCGCTCTGGTGGGCCGAATTGCCCTTGAGAGGTCCACTCTGCTGGCAGCCACCGCCACCGCCGCCGCCACTTCCAGCGCAGATGTGAGTTCCCAAATCCGGATCGTCTTGGCAAGTGCGCCCCGCTCCACAGTAGAGCTGACCATCGCAATCATCGTTTGTGGAGCACGATTGCCCGCATCCCCTGCACTCGACGAGAAGATCACGAGAACATATCGAGAAGACGATCAAAACACGCACAATTGAGCCAATTCTTAGAGCCATTTGAATGCTTTGTGAATGAATGGATGTCTTGCTGTGATTATATATACTGAAGTTTGGTTTCTCTAACTTTGGGGATCGTGAGCAGCATCCCAGTCATGTAAGGCACCGGTTTGACCGGGCCAATGGTAGTTGACTGGAGTGTTTCTGGGATTTCTACATTGATTTTTTTTTTTTTGAGAAAGAGAGTGAAAACGTAGAGAGATCTAAACTTCTCTAGACAAACGGTATGTGCCTTCAATATTGAATCAACTTTGCCACCTCAAATGAAAACCATTGTTAAGCCACTACCGATGCACTCGGTAACACAACACGGCTTGATCATCATGGTATTTAATTTCTACATAGTTTCTTCTTTTAAGTTTTCCTTTGTTTAGAAAAAGACACTAACACTAGGGAAGAATAAAATAGAGTAATGTTAAGACAAGAAAGAGTTGCTTTCGAAATAGTTTTTCTCCTCAAGAAACTCCTCATCCATTTCCTCGCTGGTATCGAACCTATAAATCTCTCAAGGCTACTTAATTGTTTTAAGGCAAGATTTTAGGGCAATATTTTACGGCACTGGGGATGAAAAGGCCGAGGAGCGCCTTGGATGATCTTCCGGACGAGATTCAGCACAGCGAGCTGCTCTTCTTGGTGGAGCGGATGAGGATCACCGAGAGGCGCAACAATCTGTGGTCCATGGGCGATCTTCCAGACGACGTTCTCATCCAGATCCTGTCCCTGCTCGCCTCCTCGCGCCAATTGTATTGGTGTAGCCTGGTGAGCAAGAGGTGGGCGCATCTGGCAAGGCTAGTCACGCACTTCAGGTTGGAATCGTCCGGTGAGCATGAGCAACAGGGTCTCCTTTCCTGGTTTGGCAGCAGCAGCAATCTCCGCTCCCTGTCTTTGACAGGTTTTTCAAAGCAGCCACGCTCTTGTCTTGACTGGCTACCGGTGATTGGAAAAACCCTCCACTCCCTTACCATCAGCGTCAGTGTGGATGGTTTCTGGTCCAGCATTCTCGCCTGCCAGCAGCTACGGTGTCTCCATATCAACGATGGTGTCGAGCTTGGTGGCCCGCTCGCGACCAAGGCAGCGGCTCCAATTCTTCCCACGCTCGTCTACTGCTTCATACGCACACGCTTGGACGTGGCCACGACGAAGCAGCTCCTCGAGTTGTGCCCCTCGCTCGTCTACTTCCGGCTGACCCAGCTGCTTGTGGAATCGGCCGGGACACATTTGCTCAAGAGTCACAGCATCGACTGCCTGGTGATTCGCGCCCACAGGGTCCCCGGCAGGAGCGTTACCAACTTTTCTCTCACGCTCGACATGCCCAAGCTCCGGTGGATGTTTGTCAACGCGGTACCGCGCGTGGAGCTCTCGCCGTCTACGTGCAACGTGGAATGGGTGCAGCTACATGGGCAAGTGCGAATCATCCAGGGCTTGGTCATGTCCAAACTCAACAGGCTCACGCTCACCAATACCTTCCGAGGCAATGCCCACGTCGAGCAAATTCTCGAGCCGTTTGTTTTCAGGAGGTCGAGCATCAGTGGCATCAAGCAGCTCGACCTGTTTATGGATTCGGCCGACTTCGAGCCCAGATCCGTTAACCTCGCACAGCTCTTGGAGTCGTTCCATGGCCTTGAGGCGCTTTACATTGCTCGTCTCACCATCAAGGTACATATATTTTTTTCTTCTCAAGGATCGTATCCATATTGTGTACCAGTTACAAACTTGGGACTCGTTTTTGTGTTTCAGAGCTTGAGCCTTGCGGGGTGGAGCAGCAGGCACGCGCCACTGTGCGTGCACATTGACACCTCCTACTCGAACAAGCGGGTGCCGTGCTGGGACAGTGACGAGATCGAGTTTGTGCAGGAGCTCGTGGTGAGCAGCAGCTGTGTGACGCAGCTCGAAGTAACAGGCATTGTGTGCATTCAGGAGCCGGCTGAATTTCGGCCCCTGGTGCCTCCGGCGATCGTGGAGCTGGGCACAGCGTTCCCCGGTCGTGTCAAGGTGCATCCCATCCGCTTTGGCATGCCACCGCGCTGCGGCGTTGTCTGGCGCTGCATGAAGCCCAAGCTTGATTGGGAGGCGCCCTACACTGCAATCCACCACCGGTGTGCAGGTTTCGACGAGAACACGGAGGCGTGTGCGTGAACAAGCGCCTCCTGGTCAACGTCAGCGTTGGCAATCTGCCACCGGTCAACGCATTTGAGACTAGAGGTGGAGCATCTACGCGGCGAGCGGGAAGAAGTTTGCGGGTGTGGTTCAGCTGCTGGTGTATCGAAATGCCAAGCCAGCAGCCGGGAGATCGCCCGATGAGATCGAAGATGGCGTGGGAATGAAACCTCATAAGGTGGCCGAGTTGCGAGGAGTGAAGGAGCAAGCCCGGCCATCGTCTTTGTGGGGATGCGACACATTACATCCACGCAGAGCTCCAGATGATCGAGAGCAAGCGTCGCCCGTCACATGTCTTTGGGCGACGCCACAGAGTTTCCATCCAAGTGGCACAAGCTTATTGGGAATGACAGATCGTGAAGGCTCATATGAAAGATTTGTCTACGTCGAAGTTGAAGGTGAGTTTTCTTAAGAGTTTTTTCTTTGAAAACAATAAAGTCTAGCTTGGAACAGGAATAATAATACAATGAGTTGTCCAGGATATCTAAAGCAATTCGATCAGTTTTTTTTATTGAAAATTTCCTTTTATCGATTGGTTGCCACCTGGCTGAGCTGCTGGCACTGAAGAGATGCACGGTAGAGATTACATGGTGGCCACAAACTCCAATTTGTAAACTTTCAAGACTTCTGCGTCAAAAGCTGAAGGCTGACCATTAAACTGTTCAATAACAAAGCTGCTGCTGTTAATGGAGACAATATCCTCAAGGCCTCGTACTTGCCCATCGTGAGCCTGTTCACAAGGACTACCATTGGAACTGAGATATCCCACAAGCTGTCCACCAAGGCGAACACCTTCTCCATCAGTGGGATGTATGGCCTGATGATGATCAAGGCTTGGTTGAATCCAAGTCCGTTATCTTGATGTCAAGTGAAGTGGACATGAAGGTGCTCGACAAAAAAGTGCCAAGCTCAGCCTGGCACTAACGCTTATGTAAATTTAAAATTTTGCAGAACATCAAAGTATTTTTCCAAGTTCTCTTTTGTTAGTTCATCATTTGTTTTGCACAAGAGAGTTTGGGAACAAGGAAAAAGCCCGGGCGATCAAGTGTGGTATTTTTCCATGGACATCTTCATGACGCTTCTGAGTTGAGACACATGGATAACACTGGCAGCCTTGCTGCCAAATGTGGCTCCACAAACAAAAGAATGCTTGAGGTGCAAAAGGGCAAGGGAAAGGTTTTCTCGAGCAGAGACACAAAAAAGACACAAGACCTGGAGAGAAAGAAACACAATTGAAAAGTTGGGAGTTGAACACAAGTATATTCACATGCTTCGATGGAGGTATATTCTTTTCAGACCGAACCATGCATCATGTGGATGGCCACGATACAAACACCAAGAATTTATTACGGTGGTGATGTGCGTTGAAAGGCTGATGTGTAATGTGTTGTATGGCGTGCAATTTGTAAACTGTGCATAGATGATGATATGCTAGCGTCTGAAAAACCAAATGCAGAAGACTGTCCATGAGTTGTCCTGCAATTACTTTAAAATTTTATGGCTATAATATGCCCATTGGATGGCCATGGTATGTTTCCATTATCACTCCATACATGCACATGCATGGACCATTCATTCATTCATTCAACTTTGACTTGTTGACTTAGGGTCAGTAGCTTGTCCTAGTCCTTAATATTGCTGCCCAAGATAGGATTCAATTGGCTGGTAGGAGGTGAAGTTTATTTCTTTTTGTAGATCTTCTATTGCAGTGTCAAAATTGTTCAGCCTAGGGTATTTCCTGATGGTGTGTGTGGAAGCACCCAGTTTGTGCAGGCTTTTCAATTTACCTTAATTGGAGAAGTAGGTCTAGTGGAGGACAAAGAACGTAGTGTTGCATATCATGGCACTGATGAATCAAATGCTGAGAGTGAAATTGTTGAGGTTTATGAGGTAAGTTAAATTATCCATTATCATATTAAATCTTTGTGTACTAAAATAGCCAACCTTCATTAAAGTCCACGCTATAACAAAGGAAGTACATGAAGGGGTAGAAGAAGGTGATGTTCCCCCACCACTATTTCCTAAGAACATGTGTGAGGCACCAACACCAATAATAGAGCTACTAGACAACATCAACATGTTTAAATAAGTGTCTTCTTTAAATTGCATGACCTATGGTTAATAAGAATGCATGTAGGTTCTTGTTCAACCAAAAGTAGTAGCTGGATGCAAGTGATCAATACAATGATATTGTTGCACTTGCAATTAGGGAGGATGTACGGCTTGGTTTATTTTACATACAAGAACTTGTGGTTGAAGCATAAGTTGCTAGGAAACTTTGGCATTAGAAGCAATAGGGATGAAGATCTGGTTTTAACAATTACTAGCCATGCTGAACTTATTTGGATGGGTGGTAAGGCTTTTCTACATTGCGTGCTAAATGACCATACTATGCCATATTGGTGAGTGTGGCAACCAATCCTAACTATTATAAGAGTCCTTAAGGTTGATTTCGAGTGACTCTTCTGCAATGGTGCCATTCAAGCCTCGCTAGTGCATCAAGCATAGCAAAGAGACAGGACATGTTGGAGGAGATGGTATCTTAGTACTAGGAAAGAAGGTGAGTTAGAATTTTTGCATCACTACACTTTTTTATAATAAATATATTTTCTAAGGACCTATAGAGGAACAAAGATGCAATTTAGAGTTTGAGGGGACTTATTTGAGAAAGTAAAAACATTTTACATATATTTCTTACATTTCCTTATTGACAATGTGATGCTTAGACTGTAAAGAGAGGCACATAGACAATTGTACAACTCAAGGCTAATGGTGGAGATTTGGTTTTTGAAACTTTGGGTGTCTTTTTTAAAAGCAAAATTTAGCTCTAACACATTATAGATTGCCCAAAGATGTGAATTCACATGTTTTTAGTTCTAATTTCAACCACACCTAAAGACACAAAAGTTTAGCATTGTATATGTAGCAAAATTTGGTGATGATTTTTTTTGGGAGGACCAGATTCTAGATGCTAAAGGCCCAATGCAAAATGCATTGCATAAAGCTCTTCATCAAGTTCTAGATAGTGTGCATATTTGGCACTTACATCATAGTCAATAAGAATGCTTGTGATGGGAGAAGGTGGTGTCTACTGGCATCCAAAGATACGTGATATGACATGATTGTGGGAGTATCACAAAAACTCGGTAAGTCCTTGTAGTCTTTTGTTATGCTTTCTAATAAGGATTCAATGTGCAGATGATGTTTATGGGTTGGCTTTTTTTTCAAGTATTTGAGAACAATGTCTAGCTATCACAAACATGTATGATAGCCACACTTGCAATACCAATAAGGGAGGTGCCCAAGGAAGATGACAGGAGATTGTGCTAGGGTGGACTATTTGAAATGGATTTGAAATTCACCTTAGCTACTATGTGGAACATCATGAACATGCTCCAAGAGGTGACAAGTCGAGACTCTAAACAAATCTAGGAGGAGTTAATGGAAGCCATTCTTAAGGACTCTGCAATTGTGCATCTCAACCAGCTCCTACAACCACAATTGAAAATCAATGACAATTATACCGATATAGTGGAAGAATTCATGTCTATAGTAGTGTGGTGAATGTTTTTCAACGAACCAAAGGAGGTGGCAGACATGCTAAGGGCAGGATTTGCTCACTCTATAACAATGGAGACATGGCAAAGACCCACCATTGGAGAAGGATCCTACTTGGCATATTGGCTAGTATAGGCATGAATGTGCTTTTTTAGGTTTTCCAAGTCCACACAATAATCTGGCCAGAGCAATTTATCAAGTGTCTATAATAATGTGGGTGAGAACTTGCACATGGATATAGTTTATGAGTGATAATCCTGAAAATTGCTTCTTCTACAGAAATGAATAGCAAATAGCTCTCAAAATTGCACCACTTTGCATATGACGCCCTTAAATTCAAGCCGAGTGAGTCAATATGAATTTAGTGTAATATAGTGAACAACGAAGTTGGCTAGCATCCCACAGCTCAAAATTTCTCGAGGGAAATCTTGTTCTTGTCAAGCTACCCTAACAAGGAGTGCATGCAAGACAATCACTTTTGAACCCAATCTTGTATGATAATGCTGAGAAATGGTGAATGTGAATTTTGAACTTTTATAAAGTATGAAATTCTAAACTGTCTAAACTTTGCAAGAAAACAGTAGAGTCCAAGTATATCATGACAATATTCTATATATTCTAGCAAATGCCTTTATTGGGTATCTGATTTTTCACTCGTTTCCTTCAGTAAACAAAGATATATTTGTCATAGCTTCTGATAAATTTTCTGGAATAGAATTATTGCTACTATTTTGGGAGCCACAATCTTATAGATTGTGTGGTTCATCTAGATACTCTTTAGTAGTCACATAGGCTACTGGCCACAAGTGCATAGATGAGATTTAACCACATTGGCTAGAACCATAGGCCTAGAGCCTTTCTGTAGCTAGATCTCTACTTCATAAGCTGACCTCTAAAGTGCTGTACAGTCAGAAAAACCCTTAACCTACTCTATGGAATGAGGAAAACATTTGATGGAACCATGTGAGAGAAGGATCAATACAATGAAGCATAGAAAAGAAGTTATTGCCTACCAAAGGATAGACAATGCTCCAATCTTTGAATATTCCAAGCTTGCCATGATGAACAACACACATTAGATAATTTTGACCCATCCTTGCTAATCCAAAACCCTAGATTTTGAATTTTTCACTACAACAATTAACTTGCTTATTGATGCTTATTTCTAAAGTATGAAAGCAATTTTGGCATTTAGGTGAACTTATCTACTATTACTTTTCGTTTACCACCAATTTCATGTTGCTATCCATGAGGCAATCCTTGCACTTGTAGCTTCAGTAATACACTTCAGTCGAGTTCACATATTTATAAGATGGTCAAAGGAAATTTTACAAGCTATTGGCAATTGCTATTAGTTGTGGTACTTTATGTTTCAATAGTTGTTAAAGATCTTTGTCTACCCCATAGTCCTTACAATTGGTTCAACTTACACTGCAGTGCTATAGATGAGCACACTATGAGAAGAATTTATTTGCCTTGTATTATGCCAATTTTCTCTTCTAGTTTCTGACATTGTGAGCTTAATGAATGAAAATGGCTATAGGTAATTGGGAAAAAAACCATGAATTGGACCTCATAAAAGGGTGACCCTAAATCCTCCCTGTATGACCGGGCACATGATGGCTATAAAATAGTCATGGGAATGGTCATTAGATTTTAGGGAATATTTATGGATAATATTCCAGGAATATCTGACTATATACCTGGATTCAGCCAATATGGTGCTGCCACTGGACAATGCCCGCTTATAAGCGGCCATGTACAACCATCTGCACACAGTTTATAAATTGCATGCCATACATCGACATCTACATAGCAGTTCGCTACTTGAAATAGCATGCAAACAAAAGAGATACTAATGTCATAAATTTGTGTATATTATATATTTCTCAGACTCTGCCTAAAAAATGTGTCAGCTCCCCA